ATCAAAATTCCACCAAACACCTTATCATTGTAATAAAATTAATCAAAATTACTAATACTGAAATAAGTTCATCGATATTGACAGAAATAATTTTGAATAATATTAAATAAAACCCCAATTACAACTGATTACTGCGACAAGACTGTGACAATGACGCTCAACATCTGACAAGATTGCGATTATGGCTTTCGTTTCGCTTCGTACAGTACACAGAAACGTTACAAAAACTAACCAATTTTTAAATAATGCCACTGTCGTTTTGCCCATATATACAATTTTGTCCAATCAAATATTTAAAATTTTCTTAATCTTTTAAATAATTAGTCATCATTTTTCACTATCAAAAGATTTACCTTTGGTCATTTAAATTTCAATTAGAACCCAATGAGACTCTGTAAATTCCATTTTACAAAGGCAATATTAGGTATAATAATAAAAAGTCTCTTCACTTATTTTTTAATATTAAAATATTTTTCACAATTTCAAAAATTTCACAATTAGTGATCAGAACAAAAATTGAAGGAAATTATGAATTGAAAAAAATTGGTATGAAGAAAAAAAGTAGTTTTTCAAAATAAATTCTAATATATCAAAAAATGAGTAATAAGAATAAATTTCGCTAAAAATCTCCTAAAATCAACATGTGCCACATGAATCATCTTGTATATCACAACATGATTGTATGTAACGAATGTAGAAATATTTTATGACCATGAGAGTTAAAATTGAAAGTGAAACTATTTTATGTTAAAGTAAATTATGTTAAAGGCATAACATTGAGGTGAATGAAGTTTTGATAATATTTTGTTATATTAATTGTTATCCTTCAACACACATGTATTAAAGCAAATTGATAATTCATAAGGAAAAAATATATAAGGATTTAAATATAAATGAAAAATAAAACGATAGCCTCAAATCGTATATTTCTAGAATTTGATGTATTAAAAATAATTTTAAGATTAAAATTGATGTCAGAAAAGAAATTAAGAGACAAAACTCAATCGTAATAAATATAGAGAAGTCCAAATTCAATCAAATTCAAAATCGAATAAAACATTTTGGATTATATTGTTATACCCAACCTTTTTATACGACACAAATATCCTTATGAAAATGTCGAAGATTCTAGAGACCACGAGCAAAAACCAGTCAGATCAATTTAACAAAATATAATAATAGTTTAACTCTTAAATGATCATTATAACTTGCAAATAACAGTAATATGAATGAAGATCCACAAGTCGTACGCCTTAGGGATGGACTATTAGATTTCTACCCTAACATAATTTTATTAAATTTATATGGTTAATAAAGAGCCCAAACCAATAGGTTAAAACTTAACGCATTTTAAACTATTTAGCATTAATGATTCGCTATAATGCTATAAACATCTGGTTTATTCAAATATTATCAGTTGATTCAAGTATCATCAGTCGCCAGCTAACAATGCACTATATGCGATATATATATATATATATATATATATATATATATATATATATTAGGGTGGTCCTTAAAATGGTCATTTTCGAATTTCCTTGCTCCCAGGGGCTCAAATGGTTCCAAATAGATAAAAAACAATTCTCTGAAAGTTTTAGCTCTTAATATTAATATTTAGATGGAGCGCAATTCAATCAAAGTTTGTATGAAAAGAGCATGGAAAAAATTTTGAAAATTTAAAAAAAATGTTTTAGGTGTACCTAACTTAGCGACAAATGAATGAGTTTTATTCATTCATTTGTTCGCTAAATTACATCTAAAAAACATTTTTAAAATTTTTGAAAATTTTTTCATGCTATTTGCATACAAAACTTTGATTGAACTGCGCTCTATCTAAACGTTAATATTAAGAGCTAAAACTTTCAGAGAATTGTTTTCTATCTATTTGGAACCATTTGAGCTTATATATATATATATATATATATATATATATATATATATATCGACATATAGTTACATAGTTTGTGGCACGAAATATGTTAATATAAAATGTTATCTGAAGCGAAACGCTTCAAGTCACGGATCGACATTTACGTCTGTACTTATGGAATAAAAAATAATAATATACACCAAATATATATCAATGTGCATATACAAATACATTTATATATGTGTATATATGTATATATATATATATATATATATATATATATATACAAATGTTGATAGTTTTGTCGATGTTGATACATATTTGAAGTATTTTGCAGCCCAATCGTCAAATTAAAAGAAGGTTAAAATAGAAAACTTTATTCTATTAAACGTTTCGACACTTAATGTGTGTCATCATTCAGTAATCAAACACAAGAAAAACACAAAGAAATATAAAATTTATTAAACACTGAAATCACTAAAATATTAAAAACGTTTTTTTGCTCTGTATGTCGTTGAGCAATGAACACGCTTAATATGGGGAAATGATGTGCTAATAATTTTCTTGTAAATTAATTATTTATTAGTTATGTTGTTCTGTTGCACAAGTTTAGTGTTTAATACATTTTATATTTTTTGTGTTTTTCCTGGTTCGATTACTGAATGGTGACACACATCAAGTATCGAAACCTTGTGATTTTACTAGGCAATGTTTAATAGACTAAAAAAATTTTCTATTTTAACCTTCTTTTGATTCAACTATTAGGCTGCAAAATATTTCAAATATATAAGGGGGTGTGAGCGTGCAATAATTTTTCAGATGGTGATAAATATGTTAATAAAACAAAAAACCTTTTATCAGACATCCATCCAAATAATAAAATAGAAAGAAAACTAAGATGATTCTTAAAATAAATAATATACACCAAGTTTGATATAAGCCTTTGACATAAAACTATAACGACTTCGAAATCCCAGAGAAAAAAATCCTCAATATTATTATTCTTAATAATATTTGCATAAGAGTTCAAACAAAACTTGAATCACACTTGTTCCAAGGATTATAACAACAGATAAAAACAAATTATAGGTAACTTCTTCTAAGATCTATTTTTTATACTTATTTTTCAGTCCAGAGTTAAAATATTACCATTACTGAAGCTTTGAAATTTGTACCAGAACACCATGAAAGATTATTCAAAAACTCTTACACTAGATCATGGGTTATATTTATCTACAAAGGCTTGTACTTCCATTAACCTTTTGGCAAAGATTATAAAATAATAAATTTGTGCTACATAACTGGATGTAAATGCTCCCTTTTATACTTATTTGTACTAAATTTAGAATAACAGTAGAAATTGCAATCTAAACTTAAACTAAATTATACAAGTAGATTGTGAGTAGATATTATATGTGCAGTATGTACAAATTTAAAATGTAAGATAAAAATAAAATATATATAGTTATTTACATAGATGTTTATACTCATTTTTAACGCGATTGCCAACTGATTAAACGGTATGTAATTTTTCAAAATCGGTTTTGGATTTTTTGGACGAAAAAATATGCACATTTCTGTTTATTCTAAAAAGAACCCGGCCTATCGTCTTGTGAGCCCTTATAAAGAATTTTTAGGGGACATCGTCGAACAGCCAAATTTTGACTAACAAACACAAACATATGTTTTCACTTTTAGTGCCAAACGATTCACAATTATTTGGAATGTCGAGAAATCATAATATAGGAAAATCGGATTAAACAACAAATTGACGTTAACATAAATAATGAAATGTGGAAGTTAAAACTTGATTGGAACAAGTAATTTTTAACCATTATGGTAAATAAATAAAATATATTACCAAACAAAAGAACTAAGTTAATTAACCAAGTTATTGTCTGATAAGTACATTATTAAAAGTCACTCTCATAAGCTAACAACAAATATGACTTTCACGAATTGTAAGTCAGCAATTTTAACGAAGACCATTTTCTAAATAATTTTTACAATATATTTACAAAAAAAATCAATTTATAAGAATATCGTGATAGAACAGTTCTTATACAATTTTGCATGATTAAATTACTTTGTTACATTTTAATTACGAGTTTGTGCAATTCTTCGGTGTAGAAATCGGTGTCGCAACAACGAACATCAACAAGTAATCACGTTTAAATTTAATAAACAAACTAATCGGTTTTATTCATATAAAGGACAAACTTTTATATTAAGAACATACATGAACATATTTAAACAACAATAAAGTTACCGCATCTAGTAGAAAAAAAATGTGCGCAATGAGTCATGAGCGAAATGACGTATGGACTGCTAATTTGAGTCAAATGAATGATAAATTACCAATTCGTAAAAGAATTACTAATTTTTTTCCATAAAAATGTCAATATAAAAATTATACATTATAAAATAACTAACGGTGCATATAAAAATGACAAAAACTTACGTGTTGATCAAACTGCACAATGAGAATCAAATTATGAGTGCACAATAACCATTTGTAAACAGTATAAAATCACTTGATTTAATCACAAATGCAGTATATTATGTCTGCAAGTTTCGATGAAAATCACAACAATTACGAGAGATTACTTTTACGTTACTTTTACGAGCAAGTACATTTGACATACAGCCAATATGGCCTCCTGTGTTTCATATTAATATTGCCATAGTCGAACAAATTTCTGATCACATGTCGAAATAGGAATTTTGTTCGCAAATACTTTTAATTAATTATTAATAAGTTTCACAATTCTACAATTGTCATTTAAATATTTCTAAACTAAATGTTAAATCCCAAATTTTGCAAAAATCAAACATTATTATCAAATTGTGGCATATAGCTACATCTATTATTGAAAAGTTTAAGCAGTTATCCATCACCCTATTGTTTTGCAGTGATGGCCAACCTAACTTAATTGCCGCCACATTTGTATGATTCTGCTTAAAATATTATTTATTATGCTCTTGGGCTAATAAAAATTTATCTTTTAACATATCAATAAACATGACACAAGTTTCTATGTTTGATAAGATAATGTAATTCAATAAGTAGTATGATGCAAAGCTTGATTATCCCTGCTCGATAATCTGTCAAACTTTATCAATATGACTTTGCCTATATGATGCATTTCTTCTTAGAAACTAATGCAATTCTCAATGTGATATATTGATTTCTTGTTTTTTAATAGTCAGGAACTTGTACACAAATATGGAAAAAGCTTTAGACGAAGTAATGGATGATATGTGAGTTAGGTTATTTTTGACAAACTATTTAAAATCTTTCATTAGAATGTAATTTTCTTCTTTTCTAATTCGTTTTCACTTAATTGCCTCATAACTTGAAAACTGATTCAGGATGTCTCACTCCCTTCACATACCAATTATACATATTTTGTATCTACATTTTCTTTTATTCTTCATATACATTTTTTTTTTCAATATAGATTATCCAGACCAAATGTCACAGGATGCTTATTTGCTGATCAACAAGGACTATGTCTTGGATGTAATATTTTTTCATCTCAATTATTAAATTATTTTTCATATTTATATTAAGACTTTGTGTTTTGTAGCTAGGGGCAAAGTTAGTCCATCTACCACAGGATTTGTTGTGGCATTATCAGATTTATCGTGCAAAATACAGCCAAATGAAAAACCTCCAATAATACATTTGGAAGCAGATAACAGGTATAAGTTCATAACATTATACAAGAATATTACTATTACAATAAAACTTAATTCAACCTTGTGGTTTTACTAGGCAATGTATAATACAGAAACAGGAGAACATAACAACAGCAATTTTTAAAAGAATCTAATCGTGATAAATGGTAAAAACAAAATAATCATATAAAACATTAAAACATTAAAAAAATATTAGACACACAATGTATAAATTATTAAAAATGTTAATGAATGAAAAATGGTTTTAAATTATTATATTCTCTATTTCAATTTCTTTTTGAGAATTTTTTCATATCCTGCATGTATTAAACTTTTATTCTCATATCCCCAGACTAAAAGATTTATAGCAAAACAAATCATTCCTATAATAATATGAAATAACAACTGCCCAGGAATGAGTTTTTCCTGCAATATAAAAATACGCTTTTGCCACATGTTTTAAAAATATTTATAATATTAGTTACCTCTGATATTTTAAGTATAACTCCGAATACTATCAAGCATGTCAAAAACTTTGCTCCAGGAAATATTCTGTATAATGGATTTTGTTTTACGTCTTTATACCTATCCGCAATGAAGTGTATGCTATGGCAAATTCGTACAAACATATTGAGACAATTTGCAAGAATAAATCCAACTGGACCAAATAAATATGTAAACACATACGACATTGTAAGAAAAGATACAGAAAATCCCAGCAAGTAATAGTTATATCTGAAAATAAATGTGTATTATATATTTTTCTAAGCGTTAAGATTTATTCACTCAACAGATTATTAATAGAATACTAATAATGAATATCATTATGTACTCATTAGTAAATCTATGTGGCACTTACTTGTCTAGTTGTTTGGATGTCATTGTTGCAAAACTATAACATTCAGTAACGCCATTTACTGCAAGCAACACGATAGCTAAACAATGACATCGAAGCAGTAATATTGGTAATCCGCCTTCAACAAAATCAGCACCACCATATAATAATAATAATGAAGCAGCATAGCTCTGGCCATATACCAAGACCAGCAAACCAATGGAAGATACTACTTTGCACAACTGGGTAAGTACTTCTGTCGACTCTGTAACTTTTATCTAAATAATATAAATATTAAACCTCATAATATAATTATTTAGTTCAATTTGTACAAAATTTCTTTACCTTATCTTGCATGCTCAACTTGTCATCTCTATTAACCATTTGAGTGAAATAAAAGTAACCACTGTCTTCTATAGGTTTGAAAATAAATCTTAAATAAAAAACATTATTTTTATTATTAATAACAAATAAAAGTTAATTTGTGTTAGGAACAACTAAAATGCAATGAATGCTCTATGATAAATCCTATGCATTATGTACCTTGCTGTGATACTGCCTAAATTATTCACAATATCATAAGTTGCTTGATCACTGAAAGACAAAACTGGGCTAATAGACATCACATATTTTTCACCTTCTGTAAGAATTTGTTTAACTATACATTGTTTTGCAAAACTTCCTGTTAGAATTAATAAATCCTTATTGAAGATTGAACCCTAGAAAATTAACATAAATAACAATTATTAAAATATACAATAATATTTGAAAGAAAAAAAAGATAATACCTCATTATCCAAAGTGCCAGGTAAAAATTGAGCTACAGATGCAAATGGAAAATCATCCATATTTTCAAAATATTTATCTAATTGTGGATTATTTAGTGACTCATTCTTCTTTTTAATTAATCGATATTGTTTCAATTTCTTTGTGTACCAATTAAAATACAAAAGATAGCAAAGCAATAAAATTACCGCACACAGTACTTGGGCAATTGAGAATGCATATAAAGCATTTTTCTTATTGTGTAATACAATGCAAATAAATATTATTGTTCTCAGCCCAATACTTATGATTTCACACACAATCTGTAATAAATATCCTTAAGCTTTCAAAATGTTATGCAATCAATTTTATAGAATATAAAATAATAATATTGAAATTAAAAAAAGACGCTAATAAATGTTTAAAATATTTAAACTTAATACCTTAAGTTTGACAAAGCAAAATATTTGGCCTGTTAAAAGCAAAGGTTGTGCTGAAAGTTCAATTATACATGAAATAACAATAGCATAGCATGCCATAACATATTGGCTTGCCAATTCATCTTCAACAGGCGGTAGAATATAAACCCATATATACAGAAAAAATATGCTCAAAACCATACAAACAGGTACTCTGAAATAAATAATAAAATTATTTATTCATTTTTCGAAATCACTTAATCAAATAATGCATTACCTGACTTACTTACGTAAGCCATATTTGATTAATTAACTGTGGCCATTTTCTGTTATTAACATTACTTATACAAGACCTTAAGAATGGCTCTCGACTTAGAAAAAGCAATGTACTTTCTAATAGCAAGAGTCTTACATTCATTATTCCCAAGATATGTCTTCCTACATATCGTAATATAAAAGCATTTGTGGCAAAAGTGAGACATCGAAAAGCAATCTGCAAAATAACTTATAATAATGAATTTTTAATAAATACTTGATTTTTACGTAAATAACTTGTAAATTATTGTTTGAAAGTTAATATAATATCAATTTGGAGAGATTATTAGTTAATTTTAAATAAAGATTATGTATTCAACATAAATAACATAGTTATACTGGTTTCCATGTATAAAGAATTCTTTATATTAAGTTACTATATAATTTATACACATATATCATTTATTAAAAAAATATTAAGCATTATAAAACATGTTTCTACAGTATTAAATTCTTGGCGATAAGTATCTCTTTTGTTACTATTACATTTTGCTATTGATATTTGAAATATATATTTATATAGAAAATAAGATCAATGTTTGATCATGACACAACAAGAACGCAATTAAATTTAATTCTAGAATTTCTACTTGCCTGAACAATAATTGTGAAAGATGCATTTTCAAGACTACTTTTCAATATGTTACGAGACATTGCAAATAATATCGTATTTTTGAAATAATTATAAATAATCTGATATATTAATAAGAAATCGCTATATTATATTGTATATTCAAGTATTATCCTTGAAAAACATTTTAAAATCATAGAGAAAACGATATTTATTTAAAAATTGCACATAACTATTCGAGTTCCTTATCAATATCTTTAACATTAGATAAATTTTGGCATTTTTCCTCGAGCTAAATCAAGAACATGCTAATTTGACATTTCTCGACTGTTACAGTGTTATTATTATTATTATATTGTCTATGGTGTGAAGTTGCCGCCGAAAAGAGAGTTTTGAAAAAGTCAGGTTAGGTTAATTGACGTTTGTAAAAGTCAGGAATTAATTTTTAGTATTTATTTATTAAATTTTAACATTATTTTAAATATGTTCCGAGATTGTGTTAACTCTATCTTAAAAAAAAAAACACAATTATTTTCATTTAAGTGATTTATAATATCGAAGCTTCAGATTATACAAATGGAAATAGACTTCATTTATATATCTTTAACGGTTTGTTCAATATTATAAACTATTACAAATACATTAAGTGTACATATTGATTGAGCAAATTAATTTTTGTAATACTATTTAATATAAAGCATTTTTTATATCAGATAAAAGAACTCGATCATTTTATTTCAACATACATTTTACCATTACATGTATTCCAGTACAATAATTCAATCATTTGCTAGCCATTTGTTGATTATATACATTATAATTTATTTATTAAGTAGTTTTTATAACTAAATACTTTAAAATATTGATTTAATATTTCACATTATCATGAAGTCTATTCGTAGTTCCATATTCACATTTCATAATGGATTAATTTTGCATTTTATTCTGTTATTTTGTATCAAAATAAATTTAGATCATAATCAACAATTATGATGTCGGTCTTTAATTAAAACACTGTAGTTCTTGCAAAATTTGAAATTTTAATCATTTTTTATAAGAAATTTGAACAATATTAACAAACGTTCAAATTTAATATTATTTTAAATTGTTATTTAAAGTATTTGCATATTTTTCCAGTAGTATTATGTGTATGTACTGATTGCTTTTAAAATCTAATTTTAAGGTATATTATTATTTAATATTGTGAATGGTAAAAATTCTACATATTGTTGACTTTATTGTTATTAATTTGTTTATTAGATGTAAATAATTTTAAACATGTTATCTGTACGTATAGTTAGTGTTGATCATTATATGGCTAAGCCTATAAAGGAAATGGACCCAGTATACTCACAATTTAGAAGTTCTGAAATAAAACAAGTGCCTGTAATTCGAATATTTGGATCAACTTCTCTTGGCCAAAAAGTTTGTTTACATGTTCATGGCGTCTTTCCATATTTATACATACCTTATGATACGTCATGTAACGATCCTGATATGCTTATGTATCAAATACTCAACAGCATTGAAAAAGGTTTAAATATATCATTGAGAAATGCAAGTTCAACTACACATCACATTTTTAAAATGACTCTTGTAAAAGGAATTCCTTTTTATGGATATCATCCTAAAGAACATAAATTTTTGAAAATTTATTTTTATAATCCTATGCTAATAAAACGAGCTGCAGATTTGTTACAAAATTCTTCAGTCTTGGGACAAGCTTATCAACCACATGAGTCACATGTGCCATTTATTTTACAATTTTTTATTGATTATAATTTATATGGAATGAGTTTTATAAATGTTACAAATGTAAAATATAGACAAAATAATAATCTAGAATTATCTCAGGAACAATTGCTTCCACAAAGTGTTGAAAGAATGAGCAGAAGTGAATTGGAAATTGATTGTCTCGCAATGCACATAATGAATAGATATGATATTATTTCTGGTAATTTAGCAATAAATCCTGGTTTGGCCGCCATTTGGGAAAATGAAAAAACCAGAAATAAACTACTTAATTTATCTGAATATGAAGCATCGCAACAGGATAAACAAGTAATTAATACTAAAAGTGAAGTATTTTTTAAAAATCGTTTAAAACAGATTCTTCTAGAGAGGGAAGCACATTCTGAAACATTAAATGAAACCGAATTGTCAGGTTCTGTTTCTAATAGTGGTAGTATTTTAGAAAATACAATTTACCCTGAAGAAAATAATGATGATACTTTAATGAATGCATCTCTAATAGATGTTGACCAATCATCTCTCGAAACTGAAAGCAAGCCAAATTTGGAAATAATATTAGATGAACAAGATAAAAAGTTATTAGATATTTTGAAAGATCTTGAAGAGAATGCGCATATTGAAGATGATAGCATTTTAGGAACTCAACTTTCAATTGGAAGTGATTCTAATATTATTGATAAAGGTGAAATTGAAGCAAGTGCCTTTTGTGAAGATGATGAACATGATTTAAGTATGGCCCTTTCATTGGATCAAATGGCTAATCAAAAAAATGATGAATGGATTGAAAATAGCCAAACTAATAATATTTGGGAAACCTCTTTTTTGGACAAGGATGATCAAGAGAATAATATATGTAACAGTCAAGAACCTATCAAAGCATGCTTTATCAAAAAAGAAGAATTAACAAGTAGTAAATGTGAACAAACTAAAACTAATTTGGACCTTTTACGAAGTGCTTCCGTAATGAAGAAAGAAAATATTTCTATTGATTTTAATGAGCTCTTAACTATTACACCTCTTGATGTTCCATTAACAAGAAACAAATTAATATCAAGTCTAGATGATTATAATATACCTGAATGTGATAATATCAAGCCTTTTTATAGCAATCCTGAAGATGCTTCTGCAAAACGAGAAGTGGGTCTTATAACACTAAAAATTCCAACAAATGCAATAAGTGATTTGGAAGAATTTCAAACATGTAGTGATTATCAACTTCAGAATTGGCGTTCTGAAATGTTCAAAGAAATGAATTTAACTAGTGAGTCTGTCAACACCAGTGCTATTAATATATTTTTATCATCGGAATCTAAATGCACTATCACACCACTTACAAGAGTACCTAATGCCAAAGAAGTTTCAGATTGGGTGAAAGCTAAAGACTTATACTTGGAGCTAAATCAAAAAGAAAACAGTAACAAATCTTCAATCAAACCCATTATTTTTAAATTTTCTATACCTAATAGTCCATCAGAAGAAGCATTAAATTGTAGTTTGAATAGTTCCATAAATTTATCACCCTACACACCTTCATCTCTTAATTATTTAAGTCCTCTAAATGAAAAATTATGCAGTCAGGACAATTCCAGTACACAAATAATAAAGAAGGCACAACATAAACCTAAAAAATCTAAAAAGAGACTATTCAATAAAATTTTGGATGAGAGTTTAAAAAAATCAGATGAGCAAGAGGATTATTTGCCATCTTCCGAAAATAGTTTGTCTCAAAACAGTGAAAATATTTCTTCAAACGATACAGTTAAATTACTTTTAGAACAAAGTGAGTATGTACGTGGATTAATATCTCCCACTAATTCAGGAAATAATTCAGAAGACACTATTGTTGCTTTAAACAACACTCATGATATTCATATGGGAGAAGCAAACTTTAAACAAGTTAAAACTGTTTGTGATCATCAGTATCTTACACTACTTTGCTTAGAGTTACACATTCAAACTAGACAAGATCTTAAGCCAGATCCTGATGTAGACCCCATAAGAGCTGTATTTTATGCAATTACTAATGATGTACCGGAAGATTTTCAATTAGGTACAGCTGAACATGGTGTCATTGTTGTGGATTTTTCACAAGATCCAAATCAACAAGAAACTTATTTGAATGGAATCAACGAATCCACAAAAAATGTAATACACACTAAATGTGAATTGGACCTAATTCAGGAAGTAATAAATTTGGTAATAAAATGGGACCCTGATATTCTAGCTGGTTATGAAATAGAAATGCTATCATGGGGCTTTTTAATACAGAGATCTTCAGTGTTAGGCATCAATATTACAAAAGAAATACATCGCGCTTCAAGTACCAAGCATAATGAAAAACAGTGGGGGGATGATAATAATGAATTAATAACAGTTACAGGCAGAATAATGTTGGACATTTGGAGACTATTAAGGCACGAAGTTGCTTTAACAAATTACACATTTGAAAATGTTATGTACAATGTTTTACAACAACGAGTACCTAAGCATTCTTTTAAAAGTCTTACATTTTGGTGGGAGCACCCAACAGCACTGTTTCGATGGATTGTTGTAGAATACTATTTATTGAGAGTGAAAGGCATAATAAAACTTTTAGATCAATTGGATTTGATAGGCCGAACTTGTGAATTAGCACGATTATTTGGGATTCAATTTTATGAAGTTCTTTCAAGAGGTTCACAATTTCGTGTAGAGTCCATGATGTTACGTTTGGCTAAACCACTAAATTATGTAGCAATATCACCCAGTGTTCAACAAAGAGCACATATGAGAGCACCAGAATTTTTACCATTAATACTTGAGCCAGAATCAAGATTTATAATGATCCAGTGATAGTTCTAGATTTTCAAAGTTTATACCCTAGTATGATAATAGCATATAATTACTGCTTCTCTACTTGTTTGGGGCGTGTTGAACATTTAGGAAAATCATCATTATTTGAATTTGGAGCTGCCCAGTTGAAGGTCTCAAAACATATGTTACAGAATTTAGTGGCAAAAGATAAAATAACTATTTCGCCTTGTGGTGTAGTGTTTGTTAACAGAAATGTTCGATTAGGTGTTCTACCTAGAATGTTGCAAGAAATATTAGATACAAGGCTCATGGTGAAGAAGTCCATGAAACAAAATACAGAAAATAAAGTATTGCAAAGGCTATTACATTCACAACAACTAGGTTTGAAATTAATTGCAAATGTAACTTATGGTTATACAGCAGCCAATTTTAGCGGACGCATGCCTTGTATAGAAGTTGGTGACAGTGTAGTCGCAAAAGGAAGAGAAACTTTAGAAAGAGCCATTAAATTAGTTGAAAATACAGAAAAATGGAAAGCAAAAGTTGTATATGGTGATACTGACTCCATGTTTGTTTTAGTACCAGGAAGGAGTAGAGAAGTTGCTTTTAAAATAGGGGCTGAAATAGCAGAGGCAGTGACCAATGAAAATCCTCATCCTGTTAAATTAAAATTAGAAAAAGTTTATCAACCATGTATCTTGCAAACCAAGAAACGATATGTTGGATATATGTATGAATGTCCTTCTCAAACAATACCTGTCTACGATGCCAAAGGTATAGAAACTGTTAGACGTGACGGATGTCCTGCCGTAGCCAAAATTCTTGAAAAGTCAATAAGAATTTTATTTGAAACCTGTGATGTGTCAAAAGTTAAAGCTTATGCACTTAAAAAATTCGGAAAAATTCTAAATGGTGAATTGTCATTGCAAGATCTAGTTTTTGCAAAAGAATTCCGCGGCCTACATAGTTATAAGCCTGGTGCTTGCGTACCAGCACTAGTTTTAGCTAGAAAATGGATGATGACTGATAAGAGGTCAGAACCCCGTCGTAGTGAACGAGTTCCATATGTAATCATTAATGGGTTACCTAATACTCCACTTATACAACTGGTAAGATCACCATATGACTTATTACAAGATCCAGGATTGCGAATAAATGCTATATATTACATTACTAGAGTGATAATTCCACCTCTAAATAGATGTTTACTACTAATAGGTGCAAATGCCCATGACTGGTTTGCAGAAATGCCAAGGATAACAAAGCAATATTTACCAACTATGAACACTGCTGTATCAACATCAAAGAAAAGTACAGTTTCTCAATATTTTTCTATTGAAATTTGTGCATCATGTGGAATTGAAAATAAACATGGCATATGCAGCGAATGTTTGAAGGATGGTCAGAAAACAAGTTACATCTTGAATGAGAAATTAAGGTGTTGGGAAAGAGAGTTTGATAATATATTAAAAGTATGCAAATCTTGTTGTTACAGACATGAAAGTATAGAATGTATTTCTTTAGATTGTCCAACATTTTTTAGACAGAAAAAAGCAGAAAGAAATTGTCAACAAACAGCATATGTTAGATCTCTATTAGATAAGTTTTTGTGAACCAACGTGATTGTGATAATAAACTAGTCATTTATAGAATTGAGTTGCAATTTAATGCAGAATAAATATAAAACTAATTTGTAAAAAAGGAGATAATAATCATGTAACAACTAATTATATTATCTAAACTAATTGAAATGCACTTAAAATTGAAAACTAAGCAGGATTTCAAGAAATATTCATATTATAGATGATGTTATATGCAACCCAACTTTAAGCTAAACATAATGCAGTTTAGTGCTATGATGTGAGAAAAAACTATAATAAAGGATAATTATATGTGTTCTTTGATGAAAAGTATTAATTAAATAATATAAAATCTTTATTGAAGACTTTATATTTCATACAACTTTGCAATAACAATAATTAATGTATTTATTTTTGATATACTTCGAAAAGTCTATCAAAATTACAAAGTTGTCAATAAAGTTAATTTCTCATTCAGCTGCAATTGAGTTTTAATTAATTGTGAAAGAGTTACCACCATAAGTAGATCCTTAACATTAGAGTTAAACATGTTATTGAACTGTTCAGGAGTCATTTTAGGTACAGAACTCACTAAATCCAGAAGTGCTCGTCCGACTGCATTATCAGGTTCTTTTCGGTCATTGAGGACATCTTCAACATATGCGAGAACCTGTTCAAAAAATTTAATTTATTAATTTTATTACTAAATTATTGTTTCAATCATAGTAAGTCTCAAAATCAAAATTGATCAAAGCAATGAGTTTATCTTTTTTAAATAAATGATGCTAACAATACTTCTTAAAATACCTGTTCCAATAAACCTTGCAATTTGGATGATGCTTCAGCTACTTGAGCTAAATCCATCATTGGCTGAACTGTTCCTGCACCAGCACGATTACGCCCACTACTGGCATTCATTGTCTTTTGGCATAGCTGTAGACCAACAACCTGAAATAATAAAGAAATAAAATAAACCTGCTTGAAATTACAGAAATAGATATATTACTGTTACTATTACTAAAATGTGATGAATAAAGTTGTATAACTAATAATTGCCAATGTTAAATCAGTGAAAGCAGTGATGCTATTTAAAATCCATCAACAATTCAAAAACTTATAATAAAACCAACAATTTATGCCAAAATTAGATTGTAATTATATGACTCACCTCTGGTTCATAGCAAGCAACATCAACATTGATGGGTGTAAACATGGAACCAGGTTTTCCATCAGGCACACCTAAAGTAACGCATACATAGCCACGTAGACCCATGCGTGCGCCCTGCAGGGACGTATCAAGTGTTAAATGTACAGGATTTGTGCATTCCCGACTGTAGTATTCATGAATGACTGAGGAATGGTTTGTAACTTCATTGCCTGTAGCCCACCAACCTGTAACAAAATATTGAGTAGCTAAATAAGCTGAGTCATAGTTTCAGAATTTCAAAAATTGTAGTCTAAAACTGTCAATATAAGAAACACTAGTTTATTATGATAAATTAAATAGCAAAAATATGATTGTCAGAATTGTTAATATAATAAGAGCAAAGACTTGCATTAAATTTTATTTTATTTTATAAGTATTTTTAAAATAGGAAAGTCAAATCCTAGAAGCAAAATATACTATTAAAAGTTTAACAAAACGGCGTTGAAATGCTACCTCATTATTAAGATTTAGTCATTAATATATAAAGTGAAACAAAATACCCAAACAATAAATTGATGGCAAATCTCAGACCCATCAGGTATTAAGTTCTAAAAACTCAAACTGTTCTGAATTTAGCATTACCTTCGCTTAGGAACAAATTGCATTTTTTTAATTCACATTAGGCCGTATGGTCATTTAGCCTTTATAAAGAAATGTAAATTATATATAGATAAACTACTCGTAAAACAATGCTGCAGATTGATCGATGCCTCGACACTTAGAAAACAATTTATAATTTATGATCACTTTTCTGAAAGTGCCAACCGGCCGAAATGCTAGTACTAACCTACAATATTTTCGGTTGCGTTCACCCTTCTATTCAAATCATATACATCCAAAGCATAATTCAATTCAGCTTCCACTTGATCAGCATGCTCTTTATGTGGTACACAAAAACAATTTGTTACTTCTACAACACCTTTGTCCACAGTACCTAAGGGGTTAGAACAAATCATGAAAATAACTTTTTGGTAATTAATATATATTATTTATACAACGAATAAACGCACCCAAAAGGGTTCCAATAACACGCAATGAATCTGCATTTCGCCTTTCATAAGCATCAACTATTTGAAACAAAACAACTGGGTGAACACGCACTGTCAAGTTAAGTTCCATTTTTGCAAAAGATAAAAGGAACGTAAACGCGGATGCTTTTAGGTAGGTGGCTCCAAAATATATTAATAGTCTTACTTCACGCTATTCAAATTTAGCGGATGATTCAAAAACTTCGAAGAAAACGATATTTTGAGAAGACATGAACTAGTTTTGATTTCTATATAATAGTGAGCGTTAAATAAGGAGGAAACAAACACTTATATAATAAAAACGTTTATAATTTGATTTCAAACTTAAGGTTTTTTTAAAACATTCAATTTTTTATGTTTACAGTCACATTCCAAAAATCATTTAATAATTGTTTTAACAATCAATAATTATTTAATAGTTTTTTATTATATTTTTCGTTCCATGATTTTGAAAAAACTGTACAATAAATCATACATTCTTCTATTTTCTTTAACTTAATGATATCATTATGATTAAAAAATGTATTGCTTTCTGTTTCTACATAAATTAGTTAACTATTGTATTTAATGTTAGAATGTCAAAAGCGTATAATTTTACTGTGAATTTTTTTCATATTAATAAGTATTAATCACAAAACAAAACGCTGTTTGAAACTGTACCCCAGACCACCCCAGACATTGCATATACGACCTGGAAATATTATTTGTATTATATATATCTATATATATATATATATATATATATATATATATATATATATATATATATATATATAACATGGTTTAATTCTGAAATATATATCAAATTTTACAGGCACTAATTTTCAAATATAAGAATTTTTCAATTAAAAACAACAAATTATAACATTTGAGTTATTTATTGTAGATTTGAATTATTTAATACAACTATATATTCCAATTATTGTGGAGTTGATTTATTGTTATAATTTGCTACTGTTTATATCAATACAACAATAAACATACAAAGATAAAACAAATTACAATTATAATCCACTGATAAAATTTTATTACTAACAACAATGTTGTTATAACAATTATTGCATCCAAGGTTTATTTTAATACTGTGTAATACATAAACAATCGTTTGAGAAATATGAACAACAATTTACAAATAAAATATAACACCTACAAACTATAATATGATACACTGCAATTAAAAATATTACCTATTAAAGAAATTCTGTAAAACAAAATTACACTTTAGGTTAGAAGATAGAGTGGTGTGGTTCATTCACAGATTTATAAAGGCTCAGCCTATAATTTGCATATAATGCCATTTTGTACTGGAATGCTAAAGTAATGAATTTTTGTACAAGGCTGTCCTCTACTTTTGGAAGTAAAATGAATCATATGGACATGAATATCAAGTTTAGAAAGATAAATACACAAATAATAGATTCCAATAGTAAGAATTAAGTAAAATATGAAGCCATATGTACATATTATATTCACAATAATCTAATCTTCCAAGTTGCGGAATGCTTGCTGTAAATCCTCATGTAATTGATCAAAATCACTCTTGATCTTTGCCTCACCATCCTTGACTGGGTCCTGCAATAATAAAATGGTTAATAAAACTATTGCATAACAAATATATAATATTTACATTAATCTGTTGTAAGTTTTAAATTTATTTAGTTTAATAGTATTGTAAAGGTATTTGTAATTTTTAATTGTGTAATTTGCTCAATTAAGAAAATTAATTGTTACCTTGAACTTCATTGAGGACAACTGATATAGAATATTGCCCATAGCATCTCTAATGGTATTCCAGGTAATCTTGTTTTCACTTTGTGCAGTAGATTCAACTGCGTATTTTGCCATATCATAGAAAGCAATAATGTTACGTAACATACCAACTGTTTTATAGAAGGGGCAGAAACGATCATATGATGAGTAGCTGAAGAAAGACACAATTATGAAATTTTGGCACTATTGATAAATTTAATGTTTAATAAAAATATAGCTGATGATTTCCTGATATATTGGTATATCATGCAATATAATTGATAAAAATATAATGAAGGCAATTTATATACCTGTTCTGCTGTAGGAAATCGTCTTTCAAGAGCTTGGCAACTTCAAGTGTGATCTTGTCAGTTTCCGCCAAGGAGGCTTTACCAACCAATTGTACAATTTCTGATAAATCTTCTTCTTCTTGCAAAATTTCCTTTACCTTTGTACGTAGGGGCACAAATTCCACGAAGTTTTTGTCATAGAAGTCATCCAAAGCACGCATATATTTACTAAAAATTTAAATGCTTACATGAAATAAGAAAAAAAAACAACTAAAAACTAATGAATTGATTTCCAAACAAGATTTCTATTGAAAAAAAAAATAAAGATATTAACATCTAAATTTATATGTAAATACTTATAATATAACATAGTTATGAAGTAATTTCAATTTTAACTGTTTGTAATTTATTATATATATTATATTATATCGAAATTTAACAAACCTGTATGAAATCAACCAATTGATTGAAGGGAAATGTTTCCTTTGAGCTAATTTCTTATCCAAACCCCAGAACACTTGTACAATACCCAATGTAGCTGAAGTGACGGGATCTGAGAAGTCACCACCGGGTGGTGATACAGCTCCTACAATTGATACTGAGCCTTCACGTTCAGGATTACCCAAACATTTTACACGGCCTGAAAAAATATTTTTATGTGAGTAAACAAATATTCTGCATTCTGCAACATATATTTTAATATGAGTTGTAATTAATTTGAATCAATTGTTTACCAGCGCGTTCGTAGAAAGAGGCCAATCTAGCTCCCAAGTACGCCGGATAACCGGAATCGGCAGGCATTTCAGCCAAACGACCTGAAATTTCTCTCAAAGCTTCAGCCCAACGAGAAGTGGAATCAGCCATCATAGATACGTTGTAACCCATATCACGGAAGTATTCACTGAGGGTGATACCGGTGTAAATGGAAGCTTCACGAGCGGCGACAGGCATGTTAGATGTGTTTGCGACAAGAGCAGTACGCTTCATAATAGATTCAGTTACGCCGTCGATTTCAACACTCAATTCAGGGAAATCACGAAGTACTTCAGACATTTCATTACCTGGGATGAAAATTGAATTTAACATGGTTTATTTGACATAACATAACAAAGGATTAAATCAGCTAGATATCCACTAGAAAGTTTTTTGAATTTTAAATTCAAAGTAGTTTTTATTGATATACCATAAAAGTCACTCAATATTATCAAAGATTTGTTGAATGTGTGGATTTTAATAGAAACAAGTATCAGACTTGAAGTATGCAAAAAATCACTAACTATATAAGTTGAATAATACAAACCTCTTTCTCCGCAACCAACATAAATGATGACATCAGAGTTAGAGTATTTGGACAAAGCTTGTGAAATGACAGTTTTTCCACAACCGAAAGCTCCAGGGATGGCAGTGGTTCCTCCCTGAACACATCTGAAATTTAAGATATTCTTGAATATTCAATACATAGAGTACTTATCATTGTGATAAAAAAATAATATTTACGGGAACAGAGAATCCAAGACACGTTGTCCAGTTAACAATGGGTGGTTTGCGGGTAATTTCTCAGTTACTGGTCTGGGCTGACGTACTGGCCATACTTGCAACATGGTGTACTTTGTGCGTTCTCCATCAAATTCAGTTTCAAGTACAACATCCTAGCAACAAATATTATAATGTAAAAATCCAATAAATATTGAATTTATTACTTCAATTCAATTTTTAATAGTTATTTTATGAAATGAGATGATACTTACATCAACGGTGTATCTGCCCTTAGCTGCCATATATGTCACGGTACCCTTGGCTTTTGGTGGCAACAACATCTTGTGTTTCACAAGAGTATTCTCATGAACTAAGCCATACAAATCTCCTCCAGTAATATGGGATCCAATCTATAAAACACATTTATTATAACAAACAATAATTATCGATATCACCAAAGATGATTATAAGTCAATTTTGCGAATGGTTATTTATCAAATGACTTCAAATTTTTAAATCAGTGCAGCTATTCTTGAGAAAATTTAATTTCATTTCAACTATTGGAATAGTATTAATAAAAAGCTTTACTTACTCTAATGTTCATTGGATCAAAGTCCCAGGACTGTGTTTTTGACAGAGCAGGAATATTAACACCCTTGGGAATGTAAATCGATTGAGTTAACTCATTAATATCTTTAAGTGGACGTTGGATACCATCAAAGATACTTCCCAAGATACCTAAGTGAATTAAAATTA